TTCTTCAAATTCCAAATAATTATCTGGATTCAGTTGCGTGTGAGGTATGACATTTAGGTTCAAATGCCCAATCAAGGGTTTTCTACAAGCAAGGCTTGCACTTGGTTTTAAAGCAGTTTGTTGTGTATTATCATCTGGAGTCCAAATGAGTACTTTTTGTTGATTCCAAGCTTTAAATTGATAGTGTTTTTGTGCATCTTCATTTCTGTAATGAAAAAAGAAAATCAATTACAATAAAATTCATCTTAATGTAAATTAACGAGGATAAGTTCTAGCTAAATGCCTTCTAAGAAATTCTGACAATGAATTGACTTAATACCTTGGAGGATACTTGCAAAACATCCATTCTCACACACACACACACACATATAGATGTGTGTGTGTGTAAATATATTTTTCACATAAAAACTATATATATTACTTATTTAGAAATTTTTATTTAGTATAATATCCGCAATACACAAGGTCTAGTTTAGTTTAGGACTTGGGTCCATGTGTGTGTAACATAGTAATGGGTTTTTGGTTTTTTTGGGTTTTTTTTTTGTTTTTTTTGTGGAACTGGGGATTGAACTCAGGCCCTTGTGCTTGCCAGGCAAGCGCTTATTCTACTGAGCCATCTCCCCGGCCCTAGTAACGGGTTTTGATACCTTTTCACCTATCACTTTCCCCTTCTCTCCTTAACTGGATCATCTTTCTGATCCCCAAAATTTAAACTTTCTGTTTCTATCATCTCTTTTTCATTTCACTGCTTAAATTATTTTTAGTTTCTCATTGAAGAGAACACATGGTATTTCCCTTCCTGTTCTGACTTTTTTCACTTAATATTATAGGATTGAGTCCCACTTTTTTTTTTTTTTTTTTTTTTTTGCCAATGATAATGATATACCATTCTTTATGGCTGAATATATATTACATTTTTTCCAAGCTGAGAATTAAATGGAGCTCATAGCAAAATTTTATTTCTAGACTTTTTCCTTTTGTTTTTTGGAGATGGATTCTCATAGATCATTAATTTCTTTTAGGCTGAATACCACATTGCTATCCTGCTGGTTCAGGTTCCAAGAGTGCAGTGAGTACGAAATGCACCACCGTGATGAGGCGACTCCACATTTTCATTGTCCAAGCCTCCAGGGATGGTTCTCTGGGCTCTCTCCAAAATTCAACTCTTGCCTGGGGAGATAGCTCCAGGGTCTAAGCACCTTCCTGGCCAGCAGAAGGACCCAGATTTGATCCCTGGTACTGCATGCTGTGATGGTCCCAGAACTCTGGGTGCGTCTTTCCAGCCCTGAAATCAGGCGTGGTGGCACGCGCCTGTAATGCCAGTGCTGGGGAACCTGAGACAGTTGGATCGTTATGAGTCTGGGCTACACAGCAACACCCTGTACCAAATAAATAAATAACATACTTTAAAAAAACCCCAAAAAAACCAAACTCCAACTATTGTGAACTGCATAAAGATCTTATCTATCGTGAATATCCACGCACACTATGCTTTGATCAAATATATGCATGGATCACTAAAATATGAACATTTGAACTCCTTTGTGAATATACCCAAGGATATATACCTGGATCAGAGACTTCTATTTTTACTTTGAGACACCTGTGTATATTGGTTATCATTATGGTTTTATTTAATATTTTGACCAAAAATGATAGGAGGGTAAATTTTTTTTTTCTTTTTTTTTTTTTTTGCGGAACCAGGGATTGAACTCAGGCCCTTGAGCTTGCCAAGCAAGTGCTTATTCTACTGAGCCATATCCACAGCCCCTGGTAAATTCTAAGAAATTTAAAACATGAGTGAATGACACCTCTGGGGAATGTTTTAAAAACATTTATTATTATAAAAAAAAACATTTATTATTATAATGCTAGTATTCATTTGCATTTTGAATACTTCTTCCAAGTTAGCTATTTTATGAATGATGAATGGAGCATATGCATGCGTAAACATAAATACGTATCTTGAATGAGTTCTCAAAATTTCTCCTTTTCATATATTTTTATATATACTATCAAAATGTAATGTTTCATGTTTCAGCGATATTTCTCATGAAGGAATTTTGTGATACCAATATATCAGATAGTGACATCTGTTGCATAATGTTAATACTACTTCAGTCTCCTAAAATAGAATTTTTCTGTATTTAATTGTGAAATTATACACATTCATTCTTATCCATCTCTGGA